ATGTCCTTTCCGAACCTCCATGGGCTTTCATCTCTTCAAACTTTATGGATAAGCAATTGTGGTGGATTAAGAAGTTTGCCAAGTGGGTTGCCATCATGCACTGCTCTTGAGAAATTGGATATCTCCAACTGTGATAATCTAATCTCTATTCCAGATGATTTGAGGAGGAGCTGGAGCACCCCTAACCCTGCCTGCCTTGCTCGCCTAAAGAAGCTGACTATTGGTGGTTTCTCAACAGAGCTCAAGGAATTTCCAGATCTGGGCTTCATCGGATCTCATCTTGAAGTATTGACTTTGATTGCATGGGGAGAACCAAGAGAACATCTGCCGGATCAAATTCAAAACCTAACTGCCCTTAAGTCTCTCGAAATAAGGGATTTTGATGGACAGGAAGCTTTGCCAAATTGGTTTGGAAACTTATCCTCTCTTAAAACTCTGGAGATTTCCAACTGCAAATCTCTGAAACATATGAAAGCCATCCAACGCCTCTCCAAATTAGAAAGCCTTTATATTGATGGATGCCCTAAGTTACAGGAAAGATGCACCAGAGGAAGTGGTTCCGAGTGGGACTACATCTCTCACATTCCAAATATCTACATAGACTAGGACAGGATCCGACGCAAAAAAGATTCCATTCAGGTATCTTCACCCTTTAACTATATATAATAGTAAAGCATTTTACTTTAATTCCCTTGTCTTCTTGATTGATTTCAGTTATGCATTTACCTTCTTTCAATTTTTTAGGTACCACTGCTAAATCTTTTTTATTTTTTCAATTTATTTATAATACTTAGCAACTAAAACCAAATTTATTATCTATTACCATTGTTACGTACAATTCAAAAGCAAATTAAGTTGATAATTTATTTTCCCTTTCAGTATATGTAATTTCAAGTTTTAAAATGTTATACTAATAACTTCTCCATTCAAATGCTCTACTACAATTCTAGATTCCTAGTCAACTGCATCAGGATGATGACAGTGAGCAGCAGGTTGATGATAATAAGCAGCAAGATGATGATAGTGTGCAGCAGGTTAATGATAATGAGCAGCAAGATGATGACAATGAGCAGCAGGTTGATGATAATGAGCAGCAAGATGATGATAGTGTGCAACAGGTTGATGATAATGAGTAGAAAGATTGTGAGGTTGGACTTTATTTGCCAAATTAAAACCTAGATTCGAAAATTAAAGGCTGGCATCATGGCTTGGTAGCCCAACCCAGACCACAGACTTCAATGCTGATTGTGAGGTTGGACTTTATTTGCCAAATTAAAACCTATTATGCAATTGGCATAGAGTAGCATCAAAGTTTACCACTAAACTCATTAGTCTTATTCTACTCGTGTATCACTTCTTTCTTCTACCAACTTAACCATGAGGAAGGTTGTTGCTGATTTTTTCAACATTTGTAAATTTGGTCCTTCCAAGCATTTTTACCTTCTCTTAATGTTTTGTATTTGCTTGTGCAGGGTGAAAATAAGATTCAGATCCAAGCATAAAAGAGGATACAATTTTAAAAAATGAAGTTGCTCAAACAAGTATTGTGAATGCATGCAGGTTTGTGAAATGTCAATTATCTCATTATGTACGATTTATTTATCTGATGTGTAGATAATATATGTTGTGTATAAAGTCTGCATCATTTTTCAGGCCTCTAGTTCTTCAAATTAACCTGCAAGCAATCAGGCTCTAAAACCATATGTGATGTTGGTGACACCCTGCTGAAAAGGCAAAGTGCCAAGCACAACAATCATCTCAAAAGCCATGGAGACCATTTGATTTTTATAAGATCCATACATGAATTCAGGTAAGCTGTGCTTCCTCATAAACATTTCTTTCAAAATTTGACTGCATCTCTATGATCTGATGCATTCTTGATTTAGGGCCTGTTTGGTGTGACTGGTGGGAGCTTTAGCTTTTTGAGTACTGTTATGAGTGATAAATTTAAATTTTTATTGGAGGGAAAATAGAGCTTTAGCTTTTAGAAATGTGAAAAAGTAAGTGAAAAGTAAGTAAAAAGAGAGTTTATGAAAAGTTTGGATTTGAAACTTTTGAGCTTTTACTGTTTAAGAGCTTTTACTGTTTAAGAGCTTTTTGAAGTTAAAAAAATATTTAAAAGTGTAAGTTTTTAAAAGGAAAATTTAAATTCATGAGACATGAATAG